TTCAGCTTGGCCGCATCTTCAAAATTTTGGGCCCTCATTTCCTCTACCTCGGCTCTAGCTCCCTTCAGCTCCTCTGCAATTGAGGACATCTTCTTCTCCGAGGACTGGGTCCTCGTTTGAAAGTCAGTAAGAGCCTCCCTGCACTCCAGTTCGAGGCCAAAGATCCTCACACTTTGGCTCACGAGGGCCCTTGTCAAGTCCATGGCATCACATAAGGAGGCATGCAACTATCACCGATCCATCCTGAATTTGTAGAAGCTTTCTGTAGCACTTCGGATCTCAGGTGGTAGAGCCTCCACCAAAGGTGGAGCCAGAACCTCCTCTCTTCCAGCAAGGAAGCTCGGAGACTTTCCTTGCACCCTCGCAGGCCTCTGCTTGGCGGCCTCGTCCTCTGTCGCTTCAGCTGCCCACCTCACAGCCTCTTCCTTAACCTCCTCAGCCTCAGCTCATCGAACCATTTCAATCTTTACCGCTTTCGAGGTGGTTTCAAGGAGCTTTAGCTGAGTGACTTCTTTGCCTTCATGGGACACAGAAGTCCCGAACTTTCCTGACAAGCTGGTGACGTGCACCAGCTTCCTTTTCTTCTACTCCTCGAGGACCTTCTCCTTCCCCCTAAGCTCTTTGGCCCTCCGACCACTGAGGTGTCCCCTCTTCGGGAGCCCTTGAACTGCTATCCTTAGAGAGGCGCTCGACACTACCCCGAACCTCTTTGGCACCAGTCGACCCTGGCTTTAGGGGCCTCGCCTCCACAGTGGATGTGGCTCTAAGTATAGAGACCATGCCAGGGGCTGGGTATTCCCTCCTCTTGAATTTGTCTGCAAAACATGTCAATGCAACAGTATCAAAACAAAAAGCAAGAAATACACAAGTATAGAAGTTTTTTACCCATGGAGGCCATCAGTTCAAAATCAATGAAGTAGCGACTTCAATCGATGAGGTAGTCGAAGTGGCGAAGCTTCAGAGGTCTCTTGTAAATGTTCTCTATCACTTCAAACTCCTCCTTGCTCAACTCAAACCTCGTACTGCTATCTGCAAAGGAAGCCTCAATAGTTAGAAAAAGAAATTTGAATACAAAATGCAAACTACTTAGGCTGGGAGACTCATGAGCTTCGTAGTATTGGGTCGGTATTATGCAAGCCAGGGCCGTGTCCCCCTCCACCGCCTGCCACTTGCCCCTCACCCAGAACCACGACTCCTTTCACCCCTTAATGGAAGAAGGCAGCCCCACCACAAATGGTGCATGAGCCCCCCAAGGAGTTAAGTAATACCACCCCCTTGACTACTTACCTATTACCCTAGGCTGGAATAGGGTCATGAAGACATGGAAAGGCATGTCCTCCCCAAGTGACACTTCCTTCCATAGGAAGTACGAGCCAACCAACTGGCTCCACCTATTTGGCAGAACCTGGGTCGGCGAAAATATAAAGTTCCTCAGCACCGCCCTAAAGCAGGTGTGCAGAAGAAGATGCATACCTACCTTAAATAGGTACTCGCTCACCGCCACGCATCCAGGCCTCGGATAGCAAGCTCGCTCATGGGTCTCGGGTACTAACATCTCTACATAATGAGGTACACAATACCTCTCCCTAATCTCCCCCAGCCTCTTCCATGTCATATTCGAAGGGACTCTAGACGCCCCCACTCTTCACTGTAGTCTACTGCCTCCTCGATCATAGCATAATGCTCAATCTCGAAGTCCCCCTATAACTAGCCCCCTGACCGAATGACGCGACAGTGACCAACTCTCTACCCGAGGTAGACTCCATTTTAGAAAAGGACTATTAACGCAATAGAAGGGATTTTCTGTGAAAATACCTACGAGAATAACTATGCCAATAGAATGGTGCCGAAAAATCAGGGAACAAACAACTTAAATGCCAGAAAACTTAAGCTTTGGAAGAAAAATCAGATTGCAAAGGTAGAAAATCCAGAAAAATGGGAGTCTCTCGCCTTCTATAAAAGGCCAGGATGAACTCCAACCGTCTGATTAAAGCCCATCCAATCTGGACCCTTCCTTCTAAATCAAATCCGAGGAGTAGTATTCAAACGATTTTTCAAACCTACGCCTCAGATATAAGCGTGTCTCCCACGCACCTCCCCCAATGCGTCTGCTTCTAGAAGCTCCAGCTATTCTCAGGATTATGACTTTAATTCGACGAAAGCATGCGCCTTGGAAGTTGTAACGGTTCAGCCACCTTTTCTCGAAAATATGGGCAAAACATCAAATCATTGGCACAACTACCAAGGAACAATTATTGTCAATGTGCCTCAAATTTCAGCCATCAAGCCTCGTAGATTCAGTTCTCAACCACATTGACTTCCTCTTCATCATTCAATCATCAAGCCTAGTAGGTTCGATTTCCACCAACCACCTTGGCTTCCTCTTCATCATTCAATCATAAAGCCTCGCAGGTTCGATTTCCCAAACCTCCTCAGCTTCTTCTCCATCATTCAGTCATCAAGCCTCGCAGGTTCGATTCTCAACCACCTTGGCTTTCTCTTCATCATTCAGCCATAAAGCCCCGTAGGTTCAATTTCCACCAACCACCTCGACTTCCTCTTCATCATTCAGCTATCAAGCCTCGCAGGTTTGGTTTTCACCAACCACCTCGACTTCCTCTTCATCATTCAGCCACAAAGCCTCGCAAGTTCGGTTTCCCAAACTACCTCGACTTCTTCCAATCATTCAGCCATCAAGCATCGCAAGTTCGGTTCTCAACCACCTCAGCTTCCTCTTCATCATTCAGCCATCAAGCCTCGCAGGTTTGATTCTTAACCACATCGACTTCCTCTTCATCATTCAGCCATAAAGCCCCATAGGTTCGATTTCCACCAACCACCTCGGCTTCCTCTTTATCATTCAGCCATCAAACCTCGCAGGTTCGGTTCTCAACCACCTCGACTTCCTTAGCAGAACACCATAGCATATTTCTAACTCCAACCATGATATGAATATCTATACTTGGACTTGGGGGATTATTATTTAGGGTTCAAAAATTTCTTTCAATTTAACTAATTAACTTTACTTCACCGAAGTCCTCGCATTACATAAATGACTATACTCGGACTTGGGGGGACTATTGTTACGTGTTTGCACACTTGGGTAACCCATCAAGGCCCACAGCCAACTCATGTCGAATCATGTGGCACTAGAGCCGAGGTGATTTGCATAGACGAGGCCCTCCAACCGAGGTTGACAGATGCCTATGCCAATATATGCCAAGGCTCATATATATTAGCCTCTTCTGAAGCTTCTGAGGCCATATACCAAGGCCATGTGAAAATAGCCGAAGCCCTGAAGCCGAAGCAGAAGCCTTCGAACCATAAAGGAGCATCTTCCACGATCACTTCTCCCAAGAGATCTTCTACATAAAGATCTTACTTGAATAATTGATAGAACGTTTGTCATAAGTATAAATGTTAAGTCTTATTACTAGTATGGGGGTTCTGCATAGGCAATAAATGCACAGCAAGCTAGCTAGTCAAGGATGATGCCTAGGATTAGACGTTTAAGCTAAAGAGATGAGGCCACGTGCCACCTCATCCAAAGGCTACCATTTCACATGTACCACTATAAATACTCCCCCATGTACCCCATAGAAAGGCTAATGCAAGAATCAATACAAGAAACCACACTTTACTCTCTCTTTCTTATTATCTTGCAACACATTACGAATTTACGCATATTTACAAACACATTCACAAACACCGATTGGTAATTATTGTACAATCGGTCCACGAACAATCTCGTCGGATTCCAAACACTTTCGTCCCGCACCGTTGAGCTACTCCCACGCCCTTGATCTTTCCGTTTTAGACCGTCCACGTGTCTTAACATGTTGGACTTTTGCTCACGTGTGCACAGATGGATCCGGCATCTGTTGGCAACATTTTTTGAGGTCAACAGCACGTGTGTGCATGTCTTGTATGTTTGCTCTAAGACCAAATTTTTAATTTCACCAAATTCAATGTTCTTTTTGTTAAATTTTCTACATGTATTAAGGTATAATATAAATACAAGTTATAAAATAATAAAATACTCTATAAATTAATAAGTATTCATTTACCGATAAATTAATAAATTTTTTCGGGTCCAACATTGTTGTTTTATAGGGTTTTACTACATATATATTCACAAACTATTTGAACTCGACTAGATCTGGACTCGACTATTTGGTTGAGCTTGATTTCATTACAAATTTAACTGGTTGCCTAGTCTAGCTATAAAGCCAAATTTTAATTTGATTTTAGGATTTTAGTTTTATATTCAATCATTTAAATCAATAATTAGAATAATTTATATGAATTTAAATTTAAATACTTTTGAAACAGGAAAAGAAAGCATGAAAGTGAAGCAAGAAAATTTATACTACAAATACTTTTTCCTGAAGTAGAAAAGGAACAAGATTGGAGCGAGGCACGACCAGTGAGTCAGGTTTGATTTGATTATGTCACTGTAAATGGAATCTTTCGATTCCATCAGTAGAATTTCCATTGTTACTTGGGTCGGGTCTATTTTTATTGGAACGGGATCAAATTGGATATTGCTGAATTGGATTTCCAAGCGGACACCGTTTTAGTTTCAACAAATTGTATCAACAACGATCTTGTGATGGATTTAATCGTCTATCTATTAGCTTAAATTTTGCATAAGGTAGTTAAACATAGAATAAGAGTGTTGCTAGCTATCAAATCTTTGAAAAAATAAATATGATTTGGCACATGAGGGGCATGCTCAAGACATAATTTAGATAATTAAGTTTGTCTTCACTCTTAACAGTTTAAGTTTTTCTATGAGGTGGTTCAAAAGCTCGTGAAAATCACACTGAAAATAATTATTGCTTATACTACTTTCATATTTTTCGGAGCTATAAATCTTTGACAGGAATCACAATGGCAACTAGCCGGTATTTTAACATATGTATCAGACATTTTTATCGATTTTTCCTTTCATTTCAGATGAACATTCAGTTCGTCATTAGGCTGTTTGGGATTTCTCCTTAAAGAGCTCTGAATTCCCATATAATTGACATCAAATCCCTTTCAAGTGCTGCGCGCCTGCTATTGTTTTCGGACGATGCATTTCGTTCAGAAATCACAAATCTACAAACGGGGCACTTCCCTTGGCTCCTCACCCATGGCACAATACATTCCTCATGAAACATATGATTGCACGGAGTGAGCAGCACATACTGTTCAGAGTCAAAATCATCCAAGCAAATGGCACACCTTTTACCATCATCGTCCTGAAAATTACCACTTCCGCTGGATTGGTTTTTGCCATCGGTCTTATACTTCATTTCCATTCTCCTCACTATATTACTCAGATGCGGATTAATCATTACTTTTCTCAGCTTATTCAAGGCCTTTTCTTGTTCTTCTTTTGTAAAGTTCGACTCCAGCTCAGAGGTTGGTGAGTACTGTGGCTCATAGTAGCTTGGAGGAGAATCAGGTACTGGCTGTCTGTACGTCGAATAGGTATTTCTTGATGTACCATTCTCTAACTGCTGCCATTACTCTTTTGTCGTTCAACCGTCTTCAATTGAATTCCTTGAACCGTGGAACGTGATAGAGCTGCTCAATAACTACTTTGATAACTGCACTTCTTGATAACCATAACATCTCATGTTTGCTAAGACTTTGAGCGACTCGAAGGTTTGGGCGAGAATGGGGTCGCAGCTCTGGGCGACTGCATGGCACTCCATTCACTCAGATCCTGGGCGACTTGCAAGCTTGGACAATGGTGTTACCGCATTCATGGGCTTCCCTATTTGGGCCTTCATCCTGAATTGTCTGATTGGGCTTCGTTCTTTGGGCTATCTGATTTGAGAATCCTCCAATTGGGATTCATTCCTTGGGCCGTTCGATTTGGGCTGAACTTTTATGTGTCAACAATTACCCCCCAATATGGCGGAATTAATACCAATTATTAATTTTTGTCATATTCACTTTGTGTTTCTCAGCAACATTCGAAACTCCCAAGAATTTCAATCATTGTTTTCTTCCATAGCTTGAAAAGGTGTGACGTTTGCAAACCCTTATAACCCCCAAATATGCCATTTCATTGCACCACTAAATCACATCTCATTTTTTTGCGCTTCTCTCTCGCAATATTACTGTTCATCTCCTTGCTTCTCTGCTACGTAACTCTGAAAAACTCTATTTCATTCGTAATGGCCGCTTCACAATCCCAATCTGGTGACTCTTTTAGTTTTAAAGACTTTCAGAAACTCCTCACTCGACCATTTATAACTCCGAACTTTCTTGCACCAGTCAATGTCGAACTCAATGAGTTCTACCTAGGTCCTTTTTTCAATGATGCGGAGGCCGTCGAACAAGTGGCGGTGGGCCAGCTGTTCCCTTGTACTCAAGGCCTTCCATTTCTAAACTCTCTGTCGCTGGGGCCACTTCGCGAAAGAGGTATTCGCACTTAGCCTAAATCTGATGTTGTTTTCCGTAGGTGGCATGCTCGACATGTAGACCATGGTCCTACTAAGGCACTTTTTGATAATGCTAGAATTTCTGATTTGTTAGAAATCTCTCTTCGACCCCTTATTTTTGATTCAGCACTTTTTCCAATCGCTTTAAGTTTTTAGTCTTCTGAGTATAATACTTTTGTTTTCCCTCTTGGCCCCATGTCCATTACCTTAAGGGATGTTGGGGCCCTAATAAATCTGCCACCTTTGGGTAATACCATTTTCCCTAGTATTTTGATTTCTGGTGTCGCCCCAAAATTTGAAAGAAAACTCATCGAATCTTATTCAAGCCTGCAAACCTGTCATAACCACTCAAGCGTTGAGCCTTCCCATGCTGAGCGTGTGGCCTTTCTTCTGATTTGGCTTTGTAAATACATTTTGTGTGTGCCAAGCATAAAGCTCTCCATGAGTTATTTACCCATAGCACACGAATTGGCACGTGGTAAGCCTCTGAATTTGTGTTCTTTCTTTTTAGCTGCCCTCTATAGAGGCATGGCTTCTCTTCAATCCCAATTGAAGAATGGTGCATCTCCCACTGGCAGTGGGCCTCTTTGGTTCACTCAAATGTGGTTGAGAGCCTATTTTCCATCGCTTGGTGCTCCATCTTTTTCAGTCCTTCTGCTAGCTGCTACGAGCTAGCCATTGATCCCCTGACTCCTGTAAATATGTCCAGAAGGGACATTTTTTCATTCTTTTATTCTTTAGATTCAATCCCTTCCTTCTTTCCTTTTCCTCCCTTTTTGACTCCAAACTATGTGCAACCTCCATCCACTATGGATAGTACGAGCACCTCTCTGTTCGTTTGGATTCAGTTTTTAACCGGGAGGGAGTTGTTCCATGATATTTTGACTGGGACCAATGCCAAAGCTGGGGTCGAAATATATGCTCCCCAATTTTTTGCTCGTCAACTTGGTTTTGGCCAAACCTGGCCTGTTCCCCCTTGCTATTCAAGGAATTTGATAGACCGCTTCCATACCATTAATAAGGTCGAGGCAGAAGCTATAGATGCTCGCAACATTCTTTTGACGAGCAACTTTTCATTAGCCCCCTTCAATCCTAGCCGTGCCATCCATCCCCTTTTTGAGCAACTCTAGCCGTCAGTGAAGCGCAGATTGTTTGTGACTGATGCCAATTGTGCTTTCCATTCACTAGACCAGCCAAGCATTTCTTCCACTTTTCCTATTTTAGTCACCCCTCTGTCCATTACGAGTCCTTCTCCTCCTCCTCGCGCTAAACAGTCCTCTCGTCCATCTTCTTCTCTTCCTGCCAAACCCACTGCAGCTAAAAGTGCCCCAAGTCGCAAACGGCCAGCCTCAGCATCTCCCATTCTGGAGGATGATGATGATGACACTCCTCTCATCGTCAGGAGGAAGGTAATTAAATTGGTTTACTCACAAGCATACTTTTCCATACTTGAAAATTTTCTATGTGCTAATGGTTTATTTGGATTTCTCAGAAAAGTTCAGCCTCTCCTTTGAAGGCTTTGGTGTCGGCAGCTTCTATTCCATCATCCTCCGCTGAGGCTACTTCATCCAAACCAACTGATGAAAGGACTACGCTTAAAGAGACATCTTCAGTCTCAGAATCTCATCACAACCAATGGATGAGCCACCTTCTTCCCAGGGCGTTGACCCCTCAAACGTCGAAGTAGAAGGTAATTCAATTTTTTGATGCTTTACCTTTGCTTGTGCTAATGGTTTCTGATTTGTTGCTTTTGAGTTCTGCAGATGCCCTATGAGTCTGCCCATTGTGGCAACATCTTCTCGCTCAGACAAAGGAAAGTCCTCATGAGTGGTGGAGCCACAGGTGGTAGATTTGGCTGGGGATATGCCACCTTCCAAGATTGTTGATGAGGTAATCTTAGCTTCACTTTTACTTCCACCTTGTTCGTTGTAGTGAGAATCTTCAATGTTGACAATTTTCTTTGCAGGATGCTGATAAAATTGTGCGTTCCATCCAAGACTTGTTCGCTTCCTGGGGGCAAGTCAAGACATCTTGCCCTGCTCCAACTGGTCATCCTGCTGCTTCTTCAGAGGAAGATATGAAGTTCCTCAAGCAGTCGATATTTGAGTATGTGTCCTTCATGGATATGGACATTCGTAAGGCTAGTGCTGCCAGATATAAGGATAAGCTTGAGCATTTGAATGCGAAGTTGGAGCAAGCACTGACACTTTCGTCGCTCAACCTCTCTGCCGACTTTAAAGCGACGTTGAAAGTTATCCATTCCGAGCTTCTTTCCTTGCTGGCCAAAAATGTTGAATTGAAGGCCAAAAGTACTTAATATCTTCACACTGTATGTGAAAAAGAGTCTTTACTTCTGGAGATCAACAAGGCTGAGGACGAATTGAAAGAAATATCCTTCGAAGTTATGATTGAAAACTCTTTGATGACTAGTTTGGCTGCACAGATGAAGGAGCTTCAAGCAAAGATGGAAGACTGCAAGGCGAGAATGGCTGCTAAAAAGCGCAATGCCTCCCAAGGAATTGAGCGAACCAAGTCTTTGGTCGAGCAGTACAAGAAGCTTGAAATTGATGATGATGTTGTGGCTGAATTAAACATCACTTCTTCTCGACAGAGTGAGGACTGGGGGAGACTTAGGGAAAGAATTCGCTCAATATGGGGTGATTTGTAATTAAGACATATAATGTCTTAACTTTTTTTTTTCTTTTTTGTAATTTTATATCGTCTTTCCCTTTGTAACCTTGTACCGAATCCATTGCTAATTTTGATCATAACAGCAGTCATCATCATTAATGAACAACTATTTTAACTTCTTGTGTATTTATTTGACGTTTGTCTTTTAATCGTCAATCCTTCAAGCATTTAACTGCTTTGTGCTAAAAAATTTGCACATTTTCTCTTGATATTTCTACCTCTTTTCCCAAGACTTTGGGCTACTTAATTCCATTTACTAGGCAGAGTGTGGCTGTTCATATTCTGTCTCTTCACCTCCATCCCCTTATAAATGCACGTATACTTCACACTTTCCATCTTCATTTTCATTCTCTTCTTTGAAACCAATTTGCTGCCATTGTTTGGCATTCTGACAATCAATCCAAAACCTTCGTCTTCTATAGAAATGGATCGTTTGATCCACTTATTTTGCTACTTTTCTTGATGTCACATTTGGTATCGGAGATATAGGAAATATTCTTTGGCCAGCAGCAAAGTTTTTCCCATCAAAGTTCTTCCCATCGTCTCTTTGTTCTTTACAAGGGGTTCGATGATGGAAGGCAATTTTTGGGATGCTTGCAGGCCACCTTGCTTGCTGAGAGTGCTTCTCAGCCTCTTTGCCCACTATTGCAACGATGCATTTAGGTAGGCGGTGCAAGGCCAGTCCACCCTCTTACTCGGTGATCGATCGGGGGATTAGCTTACTCTTAATTGTAGCTTGTAGAGCATTTATTATTTTGTATTTTGCAACTTTGTAATGAACGTTTGATAATAAAGGAATTTACTTGAACGTATTTCACTCTAACCTTTTTATCCTTAATCGTTCAACATGTTTTGATTACGCTTTTATCTGTTCACTTTCCCATAAAGAAGGAACATATTTTTTAAATATTTGCCGTTAATGAATCTCACGTGCTTGGTGCCATCTAAATCTTCCAAATGATATGCTCCATTAGGCAACACACTGTTTACTTTGTATGGTCCTTCCCAATTGGGCGACCACTTCCCGTACTTTGGATTCTTACTATCCAAAGGGAGTATCGTTTTCCAAACTAATTCGCCCAAACTGAACAACTTGGCTATGACTTTTTTTATTATAAAACTTAGTCATTCTTTATTTTTGAACTTGCAATCTATCTAGGACGTCCAACTTTAATTCGTCCAACTCCAATAAATTTTGAACTAGTGATTCGGTATACTCATCATCACTTAACTTATGTTGCAAGCACACTCTAATCGATTGCACGTTGATTTCCATAGGCAAAACGGCCTCCTGTCCATAAGTAAGTTGGAAAGGAGTAATTTTGGTACTTGATCGAGGTGATGTCCTATAAGCCCATAAGGCCTTATTCAGACATTCGTGCCAATTTCTGGCATTTTCATCTATCATTTTCCTGATGATATTTTTTAGAATCTTATTAGAAGATTCTGCTTGTCCGTTGGATTGAGCGTAATATGGTGTGGAGTTTACTAATTTAACCCCAAACTCGCTCAAGAATTTATTTACTTGATCCCCATTCAAAGATGTTCCGTGATCTACCATCAACGTTTGTGGAACTCCAAACCTATAAATGATGTGATCACGGATAAACTCTATGACATTCTT